AGCAATCCACCCGCCTCGGCCTCCCAGAGTATTAGGATAACAGGCATGAGCCACCACGCCTGGCCATAAATGTGCCTACTTTTTGTAATTACAAATGTTTACTCACACCTCTAATCCTAGCACTTTGGGAGGCTGAGGCAGGAGGATCGCTTGAGGTCAGGAGTTCCAGACCAGCTTGAGCAAAAGGGAGACCCTGTCTCATCTCTAATATAAATAGAAAAATTAGCTGGGTGTGTTGGTGTGTGCCTATAGTACCAGCTACTCGGGAGGCTGAGGCAGGAGGATTGCTTGAGCCCAGGAGTTTGAGGTTGCTGTGAGCTAGGCTGATGCCACAGCACTCTACCCGGGGCAAAGAGTGAGACTCTGTCTCAAAAAAAAAAGTTTATATTTACTTAAAAATAGTGGGGAGAAATCTCACTATTACTAGAAAGAACAACTATATCAAATTAATTATAAAAGCACATTCAGAGTCCAGGTTGGTTTTTTTTTTGTTGTTTTTTTTTTTTGAGACAGAGTCTCGCTTTATTGCCCAGGCTAGAGTGAGTGCCGTGGTGTCAGCCTAGCTCACAGCAACCTCAAACTCCTGGGATCAAGTGATCCCCCTACCTCAGCCTTCTGAGTAGCTGGGACTACAGGTACCCAATGGCATGCCTGGCTAATTAAAAAAATTTTTTTTTTGTAGAGATGGAGTCTTACTATGTTACCCAGGCTGGTCTCGAGCTGCAGGTCTCAGGTGATTTTTCCACCTCAGCCTCCCAAAGTGCTGGGATTATAGGTATGAGCCACCATGCCTTGCCAAATTTTGGTTTTTAATACCAAAAGCAGTGAGGAGGCAAATAAAATACTGCAAACCAGATGTGATCATTTCTTTTGAAACCTTTTAAATGTCTTGAAATCCTATTTTTAACAATATAAAATCACCTTGGTTACTACATTGCATTTTTTTTTTTGAGACACATTCTCACTCTGTTGCCCAGAGTAGAGCACCGTGGCATCAGCCTAGCTCACAGCAAAGTCAAACTCCTGTGCTCAAGCAATCCTTCTGCTTCAGCCTCCCGAGTAGCTGGGACTACAGGCATGCGCCACCATGCCTTGCTAATTTTTTCTATATATTTTTAGTTGTCTAATTAATTTCTTTCTATTTATAGTAGAGACGGTGTCTCGCTCTTGCTCAGGCTGGTTTCGAACTCCTGACCTTGAGCGATCCTCCTGCCTCAGCCTCCCAGAGTGCTAGGATTACAGGCGTGAGCCACCGTTCCTGGCTCAAAAATGCATCTTAAAGCAGTGTATGAAGTGTAACTGCTGCTTTATCTTTGAAAAGATAAGCTTCTCTAGTTTAACTTTTGAAAAATTACCAATTGTGATTTTCCATTTGCATAAGTTACTACTTTTGAGAAGGAGATTCTGACATTGTGATTTTGCCATAAGCAGAGTAGAACCTTATACTAAGACTGGCAGCTCAACTGAGGATCTACTTGCTTGTCATAAACTGCCACAACTGCAGAGAAACAAATATTGTCAAGTTTTGTATAATGTTCACTGTATGCACCTAAAAATAGGCTGTAAAGGCTTCGTTTGATTTGATGCTACATTACCTCTTAAATGATTTCAGTTATTTGATCTCATGTGTATAAACACATCACACACAGCATCATCATCCTCTTCAGGTGGATCCTCTTCAGAGAAAGCTCATGATTGATATTAAACAGTTCTCAGAGAGTCTTGCTTCTGCATTTCATCGAAATAGTCGTTTTCCTTTGAAATGTGTGATATTAGAGTCTATGGCAATACCGCCCTGAATGCACCCAATCTGGAAGCTTAGGTCCTTTTAATTTTGGTGGTGTGGAACCTTGGAGAGGCCTGTAATGCCAACTAGAAACACTGCTGGCCAAGGACATCTAGTGGAAGGGTAAAAAACTAAAAACTAAAAAGCACCAGAATATATATAAGGGAATACTTAGCCACACACAAAAAAATGAAATTATGTCTTTTGCAGCAACCCTATGGAATTGGAGGCCATTATCTTTTTAATTTTTTTTAAGTTATTTATTTATTTATTTATTTTAAGAGTCTCACTCTGTCGCTCTGGCTAGAGTGCAGTTGCATCATCATAATTCACTGAAACCTCAAACTCCTGGGCTCAAGGGATACTCTGCCTCAACCTCCTGAGTAGCTGGGACTATACACACGCGCCACCATGCCTGGCTAATTTTTTCTATATATTTTTAGTTGGCCAATTAATTTCTTTCTATTTTGCATAGAGACAGAGTCTTGCTCTTGCTCAGGCTTGTCTTGAACTTCTGGGCTGAAGTGATCTTTCTGCCTCAGCCTCCCAGAGTGCTGGGATTACAGGTTTGAGCCACTGCTGGCCTGGAGGCCATTATCTTAAGTGAAACAATTCAGTAACAGACAAATAACACCCCATGTTCTCACCTGTAAGTGGGAGCTAACTAATGTGTACACATGGACACAGAGTCAGGAATGACAGCCATTGGAGACTCAGAAGGGGGGGGCAGTGAGGGATGAGAAATTACTTAATGGGTACAATGTACATCATTCAGCTGATTGTTACACTAAATGCCCAGACTTTACCACTATGTAATATATCCATGTAACAAAACTACATGTGTGGCCCTTACATTTATACAAACAAAACAAAACACCAGAACCCTCTGCTACACTTACAGCTTATTAGATCAGTGCTTCCCAAATGGTAAAGTCCATTCTCAGTGTCACCCTGAGGGTTCTTGGTAACATCAGGAGGTCTGGAGTTGGCCTGGGGCATTTCTAACAAACTCCTGGGGCAGGGCCAAGCCACACTGGGTCCTGAGTCATTCTCTGGGTGGTGAGGTATAATCTCCACAGTGTGATGAAATGCTTATATTTTAATGGTTTTGTTGTTGTTGTTGTTTTGAGACAGAGTCTCCCTTTGCTGCCCAGGCTAGAGTGAGTGCCATGGCGTCAGCCTAGCTCACAGCAACCTCAAACTCCTGGGCTCAAGCGATCCTATTGCCTCAGCCTCCAGAGTAGCTGGGACTACAGACATGTGCCACCATGCCCGGCTAATTTTTTCTCTATATATTAGTTGGCCAATTAATTTCTTTCTATTTATAGTAGAGACGGGGGTCTCACTCTTGCTCAGGCTGGTTTCGAACTCCTGACCTTGAGCAATCAGCCTGCCTCAGCCTCCCAGAGTGCTAGCATTACAGGCGTGAGCCACTGCGCCCAGCTGAAATGATTATATTTTAACATTTGATGAAGTTTACATGTTTTTATGCTCAGTTTGTCTTGTTGGTTAACTCCTAGGTATGTAATAAATACTTAGAATTTTTCACCAGACATGGTAAGAACTTATTTTTCCCTTTAAAGCAGCGGTCCTCAACCCTTTTAGCACCAGGGACCAGTTTGGTGGAAGACAAATTTTCCATGGTGGGGCCAGGGGTGAGGGATGGTTTTGAGATGATTCAAACACATGACATTTACTGTGCAGTCAAACCTCACTGCTAATGATAATCTGTATTTGCAGCTGTTCCCCAGCGCTAGCATCACCGCCCCAGCTCCCCCTCAGATCATCAGGCATTAGAGTCTCTCATTAGGAGTGTGCAACCTAGATCCCGCGCATGCGCAGTTTACAGTAGGGGTCTTGCTCCTATGACAGTCTAATGCTGCCATTGATGTGACAGGAGGCGGAGCTTATGTGGTGACAGGAGCAATGGGAAGCTGCTGTAAATACAGGTGAAGCTTCCCTGGCCTGAGTCTCACCTCCTGCTCTGTGGCCTGGTCCCCAAGGGGCCACAGACCAGTACCAGTCCCCAGTATTGGTTCATAGCCTGGGGGTTGGGGACTACAGCTTCAAAGGAATAGCACTTTGGTTGGTTACCTGTATAATTTACTAGTGCAGAACATTTTACTCCTTGATGAATCCATAAAAATAAGGCACAACTGTATTCTTACAGTCTGTACGAAATCCTATTTTATCCTTTTATTTTCTCAGGGCAATGCACAATCAGGTTGTTTTTAAATACAATAAAAGTATTGTGTAAAATTGATAGTAACAAGCGTAACATACCTCTATTGTTATTTTAGTTTTTTTCCTTTCTGTGAAACCTCTGCTTTTTTGGTATTTATTCAATATTCATCAGTAAGAATTTTAGTGCATATACTAAGAGCCAAGCACTGTCACTTCCTGATCTGCTTAAAAACATTTAACACATTTCTTTTCCTCCAGCAAACTCTTTTTTGTAAAAAAAAAAGAAACTTTTCCCCTCAATAAGATTATCTCAGAAGTTGGTGGTCATCTCTGAACCCAAACTCAGTAATAAGCAAGTGGAAAGCTTTTGATAATGGGGTCAGTGGTTTCCCAAAACACATGAGTTTGTTGCTATAACCCAATGACTCTAGCTGGGACAGTCTGGCTCATTTGCAAGTGCATATCCCAAAGTATAAACAAAAGAGAAATGCTTGTACCCATACCCAGTTCTCTCTTTGACTATTCCTTGCCAGATGACTACAAACTACAAACTAATTTTTATGGGGTAAAGTATATAAATATGTACATCTTTCTTACAAACATTTTAATTCTATTCCCTTTTATGACATAAAGGCTCCTTGACAAATATGAAAGGTTTGGAAAGCAAATGCTTAGGAAGTTTTCTGATATTAAACCACCTTGTTCTTTTAATATAATCATACTGTATGAACACGTGCCTGCTGGTGTAGCAGAATACAGAGGAACAGTTTTATAAAGGCTGACAGTTTAATTAAGACAAAGCTGAAACATTTATATGTGGTAATGATTACAAGAACACAATTTAAGGTGAATGGGTTTCTGAAGGCTATTATTACAAAAAGGATGGAAGGCCCCACTGTCTACAAAAACTGTGATGTGAAATTTGTATTATAGTTAATAAAAAAAAGAAAAAGAAAAGAAGCTAAAAGGCCCCAGAGAAAATGAAATATTTTTGCACAATATTTCTTAATGTCAAATTGTGTGGTGTTTATATCATTAAAATCAACTTCATTATTTTATCTATAGGCTTTCAGATGGAATTTTAGAAAATATCTAGCAAGAAAATAGTTCTAAAAGTGCTTCCTGTTAAGTTCTTTGGTATAATTTGGTCATTTTGATAGTAATTAACCCATCGGGTAAGTACTTAAATGTTCATGTATCAAGGAAAATGCAATTAGAAGTATAAATATTTAGAAAACCACAGCTGAAGAATAGATTATATTTTTGACCTCATGGAAAACAGAACTCTAAAACTTTACTTGTGTTTTTGTGGCAAAGATATCCATATCGCCTACAAGAACATCTCTAACTTGATTATTATTACAGAAATGTTACATAAAACATCCCTTTTTGATTATTTGAACAACTGTTGATATACTTTTTTAAAGTAAAAGAGCCAAGTTTCAGCTTAAAGAATAATTTTGAATTTCATAAAGGTATAATCTTTTGTGCCTTCTTGATTCAGTGTCAACATCTAGAATTTAATGTCAGTTTGTAGAATGTGAAGGGTTATTCTTTTATTTCAGGAAACAGCTAATTTTCTTCTTGAAGCATTTTCTCTATTTCCTTATCCCAGTTTTCATCTCGTTTCTCTGATTCTGTCACCACTTCATATTCTTGAAGTTCCTGTTGTAGTTCTTTTTCCCAATCTGCAGAATCCTCTATAAGAAACAAAAGAGAAGGAAAAGATTCTCTCTGAACTCATAATGCTGGTGTGAACAATTTAGTCAACTTCAACGACCTAAGTAAAGTCCTAGCCACCGTAATTTTTAACATCTCGGGCTTCATCACTGTGTGCACTCAGACAAACTGAACAAATTTTAACAATGAACGAGGAGAAATATACTTAAAAAGACCAATTTGTTAATGTAAAAGCAAAGGTACCAGATGTTGTCAATACATTTTGGGTGTTATTTTGCTTTACCCAGGCCTCTGCTTTTTCATTTATTCATTCATTCATTCATAAGACAGCATCTTGCTCTGTTGCCCAGGCTAGAATGCAGTGGTATCATCAAAGCTCACTGCAGCCTCAAACCCCTGGGTTCAAGTGATCCTCCTGCCTCGGCCTCCCAAAGTGCTAGAATTACAAGCATGAGCCACTGTACCTGGCTGTTTGTTTGTTTGTTTGTTTATTTTGAGACAGAGTCTCAGAGTCTCACTTTGTTGAACAATCCGCTCGAGAGCAATCCGCTTGCCTTGGCCTCCCAGAGTGCTAGGATTACAGGTGTGAGGCACCGCACCCAGCCTGGCTGTTTTATTTAAATGGATAGTTGATAATTAATATTTGGTTGTAAATTAATTTTACCACTACCAATGGTGATGATAGTAGCAAAACACCTAACATTTATTAAGCACTTACCAAGCTGGGCACTCGTCTAACTGCTTTTTTTTGGTTTTTTTGAGACAGAGTCTCACTCTGTTGCCCTGGCTAGAGTGCCGTGGCATCAGCCTAGCTCACAGCAACCTCAAACTCCTGGGCTCAAGCAATCCTTCTGCCTCAGCCTCCTAAGTAGCTGGGACTACAGACACGTGCCACCATGCCTGGCTAATTTTTTCTATATATTTTTAGTTGTCCAGCTAATCTCTTTCTATTTTTAGTAGAGATGGGGTCTCGCTCTTGCTCAGGCTGGTCTCGAACTCCTGAGCTCAAACGATCCTCCCACTTCAGCCTCCCCAAGTGCTAGGATTCCAGGCATGAGCCACCTCGCCTGGCCGCCTAACTGCTTTTTGTGTATCATTCCTTTTATCCTTAGAACAATCCGTGGACAAGATACCACTATTAGCCACGTCTTACGGATGGGAAAATGGAGGCTTAGAGAGGTTAAGCAACTTGCCCAAGACCATACTACTTGACAGCGACAGATATGAGGATGGGACCAGATCCGCAAGTCCCACGGCCTATGCTTAACCACTATGCAGACAAAGACCCTGTCTTCCCAGAGTGGCCACACACACCAGGATCTGAAGTCTCTTGCCGAAGCCTGGATTCTCCCATAGTGCTCCAACTGTAGCTCTCACGCTGGTCTTCCATGTTGAGACTGAGAGCTGGAGTTTTCCCCGTGGATACTCAATATACCTATGCGTGCGTGTGTGTGTGTGTGTGTGTGTGTGTGTGTGCATGTGCACATTTGTGTAAGAGAAGGCATCTGCTATGTAGTGTTATAAAACAGTGAAAGGCTGGACATGGTGGCTCATGCCTGTAATCCTAGCACTCTGGGAGGCTGAGGCAGGAGGATGGCTTCAGCCCAAGAGGTTGAGGTTGCTGTGAGCAAAGCTGACGCCATGGCACTCACTCTAGCCCAGGCAACAAAGTGAGACTGTCTCAAAAAAAAAAAAAAAAAAAAAAAAAGTGAGAAAACAAATTGGGTATTTAAGAAAGTAAAACTAAGATTTACTTTCATCTTTTAAAAATAAACTTTAAACTTAGCTGCAACCTCAAAGGAAAGGAAAACACACTGTGTGTTGTGTTGGAAACCACAAATTTTGCAAATTATTCATTAGGTGCTTACTGAGTGCTAATTGCTAAGCTCCATGTTAGGTACTGTGGGAGAATAGAAAGGGTTGTAACAGTCCTTGAGGAGGTTATAATTTATCTGGGGAGCCAAGACATATAATATATAAAAGACAGGCCGGGCGCGGTGGCTCATGCCTGTAATCCTAGCACTCTGAGAGGCCGAGGCAGGCAGATTGCTCGAGGTCAGGAGTTCAAAACCAGCCTGAACAAGAGCGAGACCCCGCCTCTATTGAAAATAGAAAGAAATTAATTGGCCAACTAATATATATAGAAAAAATTAGCCGGGCATGGTGGCGCATGCCTGTAGTCCCAGCTACTCGGGAGGCTGAGGCAGCAGGATTGCTTGAGCCCAGGAGTTTGAGGTTGCTGTGAGCTAGGCTGACGCCATAGCACTCACTCTAGCCTGGGCAACAAAGGGAGACTCTGTCTCAAAAAAAAAAAAAAAAAAATTCAGTCACCTGGAGCAGCCAGTGCTTTAGGAATCCTAACCCAGGGCTACTTCCGGTATCCTGTGGGGCCTGTTACTAGTGTCATCACCAGTAAAAAAGGGACCCTGTTGCAAAGTGTGCCCTGCAACACATGGGGCTCATGCCCTCCTTCCTTCTGTGGCCAGCAGTCATCTCTTAGCAGAAATCAGACAGGAGTGGTGGGGTCTGAGGGGTATAAAGAGCCCAGGTTTTCACTCAATTCCCTTCCCCCATCATCGTCTCCTCCAGAGTCCCTCCCCAGCCTGCAAACAGGGTTCAGGTTCAACTTTGAAGGCTACTTTTCTAGCTGGTGCTCTTTATCTCCCCGTGGGAACAGCTGGCTTCCTGGACATGCTGTATGTCTGAGAAGGCTTCAGGAAATGCGCTTCATCTGATGATGACTAATCCAATCCTTTGCTTTCATCCAGTAGAAAGCCAGTAACTTGTCCTGATGGGCCAAAGAAAGCAGGCCCCTCTAGATCTTTCTTTACAATTTGTTTTCTAAAGGCAGCCTGCTCCTTCCCAGAAGTGGAAAAAAAAATCTTCAATGTACGTATCTACAGCCTAGCAGAATGTCAGCTTTTGAAAGCAGCAGGCTGGAGGGACAACATCTCCACCTGCATGTTCTCTCCCCATTCCTGGTCACATGTCCTTGGGGCTAAGGTGCCTTGGGGCAAATAGCTTAACCTCTCAGAGTCTCAGCCTCTTCCTTCTACATTGGGGCTTCACCAGAGGAGCTCTATAGTCAAACCAGACTCCCAAACCCCTTGTCCCACTTCTGTGAGTGCTTAAGGCCATGTTTGCTAGACTCCACCTTCTAGTAAGGAAGAGAGAATAAATTTTGATGCAAAATTTACAACATATTTTTGTACACTGGCTTCAAAGTAACAATTTTCTACAATCAACTATGGAATTAGGGAAAAGAAGAGTTTATTTCATTTTGTTGTTTACCTTCTAGCACAGCTGTCTTCTCTTGCTTTTTGTCAAGCACTAGCTGTTCCATTTCTTTCCTCAGATCTTCTTGATTTAGGTTACAGGCATCAAAGGCATCACTGACAAACTCAGAAACACCTGGGCTAGTAGAAATTTCTTCATCATCCTGAAATGCAACAAATGAGCTCTTGAGATGGTTTCCTAAGCAACATTTACATGTTAGAATTCTGGTTTATGGTAGCCTCCCAATCTAAAGGCAGGCCAATTTTCATTTCCTCCCTCTGCTAGCTGTTAAGACGTGATCGTTGCTCTAACCTTCTAACTTGCACAGTTGCTTAGTAACTAAATGAATTACCACCTAAGGCTGTTATTCTCACTCACATTTTGAATCATTCCAATCATTCTCTCCAATCCCTGATGAGCACACATCTAGAATTATATATGCCAGTAAACTGCCTTACGTCTCAGCTGTAGGTCCTTGACTATTCAAGTACTGGACACTTCTTCAAAACCGATAAGACCCATATTCACAAGCAGTTTTAAATGGTATCAGAGATAGTTAACACAGTTACTTCATTGGCAGACATCAACTACTAGGTACACAATGTAAAACCATATTACCTCTTGAGTTTTAAGCTGAGATTTGATTACAACAGGTGGTGTTTTGGGCCGTACTGCCTCTAAGAAGTGAGAATAAAAGAGACAATAATTGCTTGATTCAGTTCTGAATACATACTATAATCACAGCTAAAATATCCACAGTATAATACTAAATAATTTTCAGAAATGAGCTTTTATGTTATGCTTTCAGCTTTTCTTAAGTTATTACAAGAAATAGCCATGTGAAACCATCTCAACTTCTTACTTTTGGGGATATTTTTAATGTGTCACCATAGTTCATGCCCCTTATATAAAATTTCCAGCAGGAAATAATTTTTGACTTCAGTGTTAGCAAAATTCACTGAAGAATAGTTTTGCATTTTCTTTTAGGATAATGAGAGTTAAGTTATTTATCAAGTTTCCCTGTTGTCACGAATTCTAGAAAGTGCACAGGAAAATGCAATGCTCAATCACAGCTTCTCTTTCTCATGGGCCTTGTTTTCTATTCATTAACCTTAACTAGATGGACAGTCTTTACTGAATACTGCATTAAATTCATTTTGTTAAACAGGCAATATTTGATAAAATGGCATCTTCCAATAAAATTAATATAAATGCTAAAGAATGACAGATAATTGGGATACAGGTTAACATCTATATACAAAATGACAAATTTTCCTGTGTAGAGCAACTTCATTACATTTCCCTGACCCTAAATGCAGTGTTAGATCCTCTCCTAGTAGTCTGTACAACCTGTACCTGTTTTGCTTAATCACTTAAAATTCTGTGAATCTGGCCAGGCGTGGTGGCTCATGCCTGTAATCCTAGCACTCTGGAAGGCTGAGGCGGGTGGATTGCTCGAGGTCAGGAGTTTGAAACCAGCCTGAGCAAGACCCCGTCTCTACTAAAAAAGTCGAAAGAAACTAATTGACCAACTAAAAAAAAAAATATATATATATATATATATAAAAATTAGCCGGGCATGGTGGTGCATGCCTGTAGTCTCAGCTACTTGGGAGGCTGAGGCAGGAGGATCACTTGAGCCCAGGAGATTGAGGTTGCTGTGAGCTGGGCTGACGCCATGGGACTCACTCTAGCCTGGGCAACAAAGTGAGACTCTGTCTCAAAAAAAAAAAAAAAAAAAAAATTCCGTGAATTAAATTATCCCACTTCTTGCAGGATAAGTGGCCAGTTGTAATTAGTACCTACCTATACACAGCAGGTACACACTGAACATTTTAAATATGACACAAAACCCATTTCTTATTTTAATTATCATTACAGCTCTCAAATAACTACCCATACTGTAAAGCACTTTGCCCCACAGCCAGGGGTAAAGTGTCACAATAACAAAGTGTCAAATGTTTATTAGAGCCTAGCTCTGAGCTGGGCACTTGGAACTTGGGGTGGAGCGAGTTTTATTCTGCTGTACGGAATACATGTACTGAGGAAGCATCAGGTTGAAAGACGGAGACAAAAAGGAGATGACCAGGCCAGGCGTGGTAGCTCATGCGTGTAATCCTAGCACTCTGGGAGGCCGAGGCGGGAGGACTGTTTGAACTCAGGGGTTCGAGACCAGCCTGAGCAAGAGCAAGACCCCGTCTCTACTAAAAAAAATAGAAAGAAATTAGCTGGACAACTAAAAATATATAGAAAAAATTAGCCGAGGCAATGGTGGCGCATGCCTGTAGTCCCAGCTACTTGGGAGGCTGAGGCTGGAGGATCGCTTGAGCCCAGTAGTTTGAGGCCGCAGTAAACTGTGATCACGCAACTCCACTCCAGCCTGGACAACAGAGTGAGATGCTGGCTTTAAAAAAAAAAAAAAAAAGCTGGGCAGGTGGCTCACACTGTAACCCTAGCCACTCTATGAGGCTGAGGCGGGCGTATTGCTCGAAGTCAGGAGTTCGAGACCAGCTTGAGCAAGGGAGACCCCTGTCCTCTATTATAAATAAAAAAGAAATTAATTGGCAGTAGGACCTTGAGCCCAGGAGTTTGAGGTTGCTGTGAGTAGGCCTGAAGCCACAGCACTCACTCTAGCCTGGGCAAGAAGTGAAACTCCTGTCTCAAAAAAATGTAGGCTGGGTGGCGGTAGCTCACGTCTGTAATCCTAGCACTCTGGGAGGCCAAGGAGGGAGATCACTCAAGGTCAGGAGTTTAAGTCCAGCCTGAGCAAGAGTGAGACCCTGTTTCTACTAAAAAAAATAGAAAGAATTAATTGGCCAACTAATATATATAAAAAAATTAGCCGGGCATGGTGGAGCGCCTGTAGTCCCAGCTACTCGAGAGGCTGAGGAGAAGAGATTGCTTGAGCCCGCGGAGTCTGAGGTTGCTGTGAGCTAGGGCAGCACTCCACTCTAGCCTGGGCAACCAAAGTGAAACTCTGTCTCAAAAAAAAAAAAAAACCAAAACGAATTCAAGGAGTGAGAAAAGGAGATAGCAAAATCAAAAAAAGCTTGGGACAATATATGTGAGCTGGTCAGAGGGAGTCAACAAAAGAAATAGATTTTCTCTGTGAAAAAGAATTTTTCTGTAAGATGATAACACTCTGGGTATATACAAGAAGTCAAGCTCATTCAAGTCTCTACATTAATAACTCTTTTTTTTTTCAGTGATCTGCTGGTTAATTAAAAAAAAAAGCTACTTTCTTGGTAGAAGTGCTGTCTTGTCGTTGGAAAGTACCTGTGAGCCGGGGAGTCCTCCTGTCTGCCGTTGCTTTCTCTCCCTCCCCGCAGCCTGCTGCTTGGCGGCCAGGGCGTGAGCTGCGCCGACTGCTTAATCAGGGAGACGCGGTAAAAGTAGTCCTCCAGAACACTTCTTCCTTCACGCTTTTAAAGACAGACAATAACACGTTTGAGAAACGTATGCAGACAAGTGCATGCAGGGGTTATTTGCTGCAGAGGGAACTGGAAAGGATTCTTATTTTTTTGGAGACAGGTCTCACCTCTGTCCCCGGGCTAGAGTGCCGTGGCATCAGCCTAGCTCAGCAGCAACCCTCAAACTCCTGGGCCTCAAGGAATCCTCCTACCTCAGCCTCCCGAGTAGCTGGACTACAGGAGCGCCACCATGCCCAGCTAATTTTTTCTATATATTTTAGTTGCCAATAATTTCTTTCTATTTATAGTAGAGACGGGGGTCTCGCTCTTGGTCAGGCTGGTTTGAACTCCTGAGCTTGAGCGATCCTCCCGCTCTGCCTCCAGAGTGCTAGGATTACAGGTGTGAGCCAACACACCTGGCCTTATTTTTATTTATTTATTTTTTTTTAGAGACAGTGTCTCACTATGTTGCCCAGGCTGGAGTGCAGTGGTTGTTCACAGGCAGAATCGTAGCTCACTGCAGCCTTGAACTCCTGTCTCTAGTGATGTTCTTGCATCAGCCTTCCGAGTAGTTTGGACTACTGATGTGTACCAGGGCACCTGGCTCTGGAATAGATGATTTTTAGGAGTACTTTCTTTTCTTTCTTTTTTTTTGGAGACAGAGTCTCACTTTGTTGCGTGGGCTAGAGTGCCGTGGTGTCAGCCTAGCTCACAGCAACCTCAAACTCCTGGGCTAAAGCGATCCTCCTGCCTCAGCCCTCCCAGTAGCTGGGACTACAGGCATGCGCCACCATGCCTGGCTAATTTTTACTATATTTTTTAATTGGCCAATTAAATTCTTTCTATTTTTAGTAGAGACGGGGTCTCCTCTTGCTCGGGGCTGGTTTTGAACTTCTGATCTCGACAATCCATGCACCTCAGCCTCCCAGAGTGGCTAGGATTACAGGCGTGAGCCACCCTCCCGGCCTTTAGGAGCACTTTCAAAGGAAATGCACATTGGTAGAACTGAAAGCTGCACACAATAGGATAACAGAACAACTATCTTCTCCATAGCAGCAAATGACAAATTACGGAATGCCCCAACAAAACCTTAGCACTTCTGGTATCTTAATGACAGCAACACTGCCCTCAGCAGAGGAAAAACAGGGTATGGTTGCAAAAGCAGCATGATCAACCAGGGAGGGCAGAAGCAGGCCATACTCCAGCAATCATCTGCTGTTTCCCAGAGATTAAATGCTCCCCAGCAGAGAGAAGAAAGCATTATGGGTGTTTCCTTACGAAATGCTTGCGGCTTGTAATAACCAGCAACTCGTAAGAGTGAGCAATGAGGCGGGAGATGGTTGCTAAAAAGAGGGAGGCAGTTCGACCTGAGAACTCTCAGTGGTTCTCAAGCTTGCCTATGCATTAGAATTCACGTGGTGTGGGGTGTTGTGCCCCAAGTCGGGTAAGTAGCCCACACAGGGGGGGGTGGCTGTAATGGAGAGTGACAACCAAGTGGGGAGAGAAGGGTGTCTGAACAGAGGAGTGGTGGTGGCAAAAACGGGAGACAGGATAAACATCAGGGCATTGGCGAGTAAGTAAAAATATTGAACCAGCTTTCTCGCTGTCAGAGGAGGCGAGTTACAAACATGGAAAAGAAAACATGAGACTGGGCTGGCGTTGTGGCTCATACCTGTAATCCTAACACTCTGGGAGGCCAAGGGTGGGAGGATCGCTCAAGGTCAGGAGTTGCAAAACCAGGCCTAGCAAGAGCGAGACCCGTCTCTACCCAAAAAATAGAAAGAAATTAATTGGACGACTAAAAATATACAGAAAAATTAGCGGGCAGTGATGGTGCCAGCCTGTATCCCAGCTCACTCGGGAGGCTGAGGCAAGAGGATTGCTTGAGCCCAGGAAGTTCGAAGATTGCTGTGACTAGGCTGACCCAACGGCACTCTAGCCTGGGCAAGCAGAAAATGAGACTGTGTCTCAGAAAAAAAAAAGAAATCCATGAGCATAGTACCTCCTGAACATTTATCTCACTTCTTATGTTTTCATAGAACTTATTTTAAGGCATTAGTATTCCTGTGAACATCCGTGCTGGAAATACTGCAAATGTCTCAGCCGAGGGGGGAAAGGATGTAAGGTTCCCCAGCTGTGTAGAATGAGGCCTTGGAGTGCCTGTGATGTTACCCATCTCCAGTCATAGGCTGCATAGGAAGTGCTAATGATACTACTAATACATTTTCAAATACCGAGCAAGTGTTGTTCTGTTTTTCCAAAGTATTTCCAGTTGAATGATGGCTCCTGTTCAGAAAAAGTGTCCCAGAGGATCAAAGCTGCACTTCCAATGTGTCAGAGAAAAGTCCAGAGGGCCTTATGTTGGTGTGTGATGACTCGATTGTGTTTTGTTTTACTTGATGGAAATTTTCAACAAACAAAGTTGGAGAGAGACTAGAGCCATGCACCCACGCACCAGTGACCTACCGTCCACGATTATCACATTTCGTCAGCTGGTTCCATCTATTCCCTCTCCCTGCGCACCACAGGCTTTTCTTTGGGTGGTGGGTGGAATATTTCAAGGTAAAATGCCAGGGCATTATATCCTTGCATCCATAATACACTCACCAAGCATTTGTAGCATGTAGAGCTCATAAAAAATAATTAGCTGGACAACTAAAAATTATATAAAAAATTAGCAGCGCCATGGTGGTGCATGCCTGTAGTCCCAGCTACTTGGGAGGCTGAGGCTGGAGGATCGCTTGAGCCCAGTAGTTTGAGGCCGCAGTAAACTGTGATCACGCAACTCCACTCCAGCCTGGACAACAGAGTGAGATGCTGGCTTTAAAAAAAAAAAAAAAAAAAAAAAAGCTGGGCACGGTGGCTCACACCTGTAACCCTAGCACTCTATGAGGCTGAGGCGGGCGTATTGCTCAAGGTCAGGAGTTCGAGACCAGCCTGAGCAAGAGCGAGACCCTGTCTCTATTATAAATAGAAAGAAATTAATTGGCAGTAGGACCACTTGAGCCCAGGAGTTTGAGGTTGCTGTGAGCTAGGCTGAAGCCACAGCACTCACTCCAGCCTGGGCAACGAAGTGAAACTCTGTCTCAAAAAAATGTAGGCTGGGTGCGGTAGCTCACGTCTGTAATCCTAGCACTCTGGGAGGCCAAGGAGGGAGGATCACTCAAGGTCAGGAGTTTAAGTCCAGCCTGAGCAAGAGTGAGACCCTGTTTCTACTAAAAAAATAGAAAGAAATTAATTGGCCAACTAATATATATACAAAAAATTAGCCGGGCATGGTGGCGCATGCCTGTAGTCCCAGCTACTCGAGAGGCTGAGGCAGAAGGATTGCTTGAGCCCAGGAGTCTGAGGTTGCTGTGAGCTAGGGCAGCACTCACTCTAGCCTGGGCAACAAAGTGAAACTCTGTCTCAAAAAAAAAAAAAAAAAAACCAAAACGAATTCAAGGAGTGAGAAAGGAGATAGCAAAATCAAAAAAAGCTTGGGGACAATATATGTGAGCTGGATCAGAGGGAGGTCAACAAAAGAAAAATGATTTTCTCTGTGAAATAAGAATTTTTCTGTAAGATGATGAACACGTCTGGTATATACAAGAAGTCAAGCTCATTCAAGTCTCTACATTAATAACTCTTTTTTTTTTCAGTGATCTGCTGGTTAATTAAAAAAAAAAAGACTACTTCTTTGGTAGAGTGCTGTCTTGTCGTTGGAAAGTACCTGTGAGCGGGGAGTCCTCCTGTCTGCCATTGCCTTTCTCCTCCCTCCCCGCAGCCTGCTGCTGGGCGGCCAGGGCGGTGAGCTGCGCCGACTGCTTAATCAGGGAGACGCGGTAGAAGTAGTTCCTCCAGAACACTTCTTCCTTCACGCTTTTAAAGACAGACAATAACACGTTTGAGAACGTATGCAGACAAGTGCACGCAGGGGTTATTTGCTGCAGAGGGAACTGGAATAGGGGATTCTTATTTATTTTTTTGAGACAGAGTCTCACTCTGTCGCCCGGGCTAGAGTGCCGTGGCATCAGCCTAGCTCACAGCAACCTCAAACTCCTGGGCTCAAGTGATCCTCCTACCTCAGCCTCCCGAGTAGCTGGGACTACAGGCATGCGCCACCATGCCCGGCTAATTTTTTCTATATATATTAGTTGGCCAATTAATTTCTTTCTATTTATAGTAGAGACGGGGTCTCGCTCTTGGTCAGGCTGGTTTCGAACTCCTGAGCTTGAGCGATCCTCCCGCCTCTGCCTCCCAGAGTGCTAGGATTACAGGTGTGAGCCAACACACCTGGCCTTATTTTTATTTATTTATTTTTTTTTAGAGACAGTGTCTCACTATGTTGCCCAGGCTGGAGTGCAGTGGTTGTTCACAGGCAGAATCGTAGCTCACTGCAGCCTTGAACTCCTGTCTCTAGTGATGTTCTTGCATCAGCCTTCCGAGTAGTTTGGACTACTGATGTGTACCAGGGCACCTGGCTCTGGAATAGATGATTTTTAGGAGTACTTTCTTTTCTTTCTTTTTTTTTGGAAGACAGAGTCTCACTTTGTTGCGTGGCTAGAGTGCCGTGGTGTCAGCCTAGGCTCACAGCAAACCTCAAAACTCCTGGGCTAAAGCAATCCCTCCTGCCTCAGCCCTCCCCAGTAGCTGGGACTGAAAAGCCAGGCCATGGCGCCAGGCCACCAG